GTGTGAGAGAGAGAGAGAGCGCGCGTGTGTGTGTGAGAGAGAGAGGGGTGAGGGTCACAGAGAGGGAGAGGGTGAGCGAGAAGGCGAGAGAAGTAACTATATATATTAAAAGGAATATGTGCATCCGTGCCTGTATGTGTGCCGTATGTGCGTTTGTCTGCGCGTGTGTACAGCGCATGCGCGTGCACATCTCCGTTTGCATTATTTCCTCCACCCGTCCCTCTCTCCTTTCCCTCCTCTTTCCTTCCTCCTCCCCTCTCATTCATTTCCCTCCCCCTCTCGCGGATAGTATCGTCCACGGCATCCGTTGCACGGTGAAAAGTTAGCCATGCAAATGGCTAATTTTCAACCTCAACTTTTTCATCCCCCCAAAGCACAAAATGTGGATATACGGCTATAATACGCGTTTTTACACAAGCACAAGCACACATACACACACGCGACAGGGCGCGCACACGCGGGTATGGTTGCACGCCCGCGTGCGCGTGTATTATAGGCGTAAATTCAAATTTCGTGCCTCGGGGAGTGAAAAAGTTTTGGCTGAAATACGGCCATTTAGCTGCAAATGTTTTTCCATGCTTGACTGGTCGTGGGCGATACCATCCGCGAGAGGGGAGTAAGGAAGTGATGTACGTAATGACGTATTCATCTACGTTAAACGAGGTGCATATACGTGTATGTGTTGTTAGTACAGTGGTTAGAACGCTAAACTACTATATATGAAACCGGAGTTCGAATCTCCCACGTCGTTATTTGCTTTTCTTCTATAACTTGTGTAAAGGTAAACGTATTAAAAGTAAAACGTGTATAAAGAACAAATGAAGAGCATATATAGTTTCTATTTCAAACATTTTATATTCCATGTTTGTAGTCAATGAGGTGGTGTTCACAATGAGAACGCCAATACTAATCAATACAAAAAAGACACATGATTGAACACCTGAGTTTTTGTCGTTTATATATTTCTCGTCGCGAGTCGCGCTGATACGATTAATTCCGCTCCTCTCATGATCAGATATCTCATCACTGCGTGTGTGCGATGTCATTCCTCTACTGTCACCACCAGACCCTGGTTGTCTATGCACACGGCGTGAACTTTCACCTCTTCTGCTCCCTGAAATGTACAACAGCCACTTATCCAGAGGTCCCAAGTTGGGAAAATCCAAGAAAGCGATCACTTGTGATAATGGTCCATCGCCGTTTTTTCGCGGTGCGCAAAAACAGGAAAATAGTTGTGGCGGGTTGCGACATGTGTTTGTCGCGGCGCACCACCATTTTTTATAAAGTATACATGTAAAATAAAATGCAAATTCATGTTAATTTATGGTTTCACAATTATTTATTATTGCTGCCACGGTAAATTTAGTAATTTACTGATGTAAATTTTAAAATATGGCTGAAAAATGTTACGACCGGGACTTTCTGGACTCACAGGAGGACTTTCTGCATGTCGCACCGGGACGGTCCCGGTGAGACCGAGACACTTGGGACGTCTGCTTATCACATCACACATATGCGCACGGTATACACGCATCACTACTCACTCGCATAGTATCTCAATTATAATAAAAAAAAAGTAATAATCGGTTTACATGGCTAAAAATTGCCGACAAATACAAGTAGAATCGCTTGGGTACTTCATAAGAAGTACTTCATAATAAATCTTGAGGGACAACCTTAATAATAAATCTTAAACGAGGGACAGTGGACGACGAACACCCTCAACTGTAAATCTTAAACGAGAAACATCCTTTATCGTACATCTCAAACCAAACGTAACGTTTACTAGGGGCGCGTTTGTTTGGAACGAATCCGTCGGATCGAGATCATATGATCCTGATCCGACCAAACAAACGCAAAGCTCCCTTTCACCGGTTCACGTTTTGCTGTGGCCTATCACGGGATGGTTCATAACAAAGAACAAGCTGTGATTGGCTGAGGCGCGGGCCACCATATTGGATCCCGTTCGAATCCACCTCGCTAGCAGGGACGGGTTCGGTGGATCTAGATCAAGTGATCCAACCAAACAAACAGTCAGATCAGTCATTCACGCTCATTCCTCTACCGTCATTCACGCTAATTCCTCTACTGTCATTCACGCTAATTCCTCTACTGTCACCACCAGTCCATGGTTGTCTATAAACTTTTTCACCCCAACCACAAATTGTGAATATACGGCTATACTACGCGTCTTTACAGTCCCACAAACACACACACACACACACACACACACACACACACACACACACAACACGCACACGCACGCGCGCGCGGGGGTATTATGTCGCACGCACACGTACGCGTGTATTATAGGCGTAATTCATGTACATTTAGAGCTTCAGGGGATGAAAAAGTTTGTACCGAATAACGTCCATTTTTGCCTGGATGAGATTCACCGTGCTATCGATGCTGTTGGCGATACCATCCACGTGAGGGGAGTAAGGGAGTGCGGAAGAGGAAGAAACGGAGAGCGGAGAGTATCGCACGCGCGCGCGCGCGCTGGCGCGGGTATGGTCGCACGCACGCGCGCGCGCTGGCGCGGGTATGGTCGCACGCACGCGTGCGCGTGTATTATAGGCGCAAATTCATGTAGATTTTGAGCATCGATGCCGTGGGCGATACCATCCGCGAGAGGGGAGTAAGGGAGTGCGAAAGAGGAAGAAACGGAGAGAGGAGAGTATATATACATGTATATATATATATATTATATCATTTGTCTTACAGAAAATTCCAGAAATTTGTCTCATTAACTCCTGATTATATATATAGTGCCCGAGAAAGAGAAAACTTGCGAGTGTGTGTGTGCGCGTGCGTGCGTGCGTGCGTGCGTGTGTGTATGTGTGTGAGGGAGAGAGGGACAGAGTGAGTGAGAAGGCGAAAGGATTATCTAGAGTGGAAAAATGCATGTAATACTATTATGTATCATTAGCATTCATTGTTCATGTATACTATTATGTATATGTGTACTATAATGTATAATATATATACTATTAATGTATACTATCGTTATCATCCCATATATAATGGAATGAATGCTGATCAATAATGAAGTTCGTTAATTACGGTGGCTGCATGCTTCACCTTCTATGAGCAAACTCAGCCTCTATATCGACGTTCTCCAGTATCTCGTTCAGCGACATCCGCCATGATGAACGCCACCTGGTGATGCAGAACACATTTTTTTTATTCTTTTAAAAAGCCTGAATGACAGCTTACTTTTTTCACCAAGGCAATGATTATAGATTTTATGTAATTTAATCGAATTTCAACATTTTAATAATACATACTGGCTGTCTTCGCAAGAAGATTTTGAAGATTTGAACATTGTTTTTGATGAAATAAGAGTTTACGCCGTTAACTTCTTCCTATGAAATCCCGTGTTTCCGGGAATTCCTTTACGCATAGAGCGGGAGTGTGATGTCTGATGAGCACCTGTCTAGGATGCTTCCAGACTCATCCTCCAGGAGACCCTGAAGCCACATCAGCTCGCGCATTCCGACATTCTCCCAGACGTGGAATACGGGAAACAGTCGCGCCGTCATCACCGTCATCTCCTTCTCATCCTAACGGGAAAAAGAAGGAAAAATTCACCATGACGTCTCAACCATCAAGAATGCCTGGATTGTGGCGCCACCTGCTGACACATTTAATTGTTAATCGAGTAAGTTGAGATAACTGCATAAATCATGTTTATTATAATTATACATTTTCTTATAATCATTATGATGGGAAACCATCAGACTTTCATAGCTACACTATCTTATTAATTTTTGAAGACTAGAAGTGAATTCAATCGGGTTCGGGGTCTTTTCTCGAACTTTCGACCATTTTGCAAGCACGACAAACCTTCTGTGAAAGTACTTATTATTTATTATTAGCTAAGAATTCCCATAAATACGCACCAGTTTGGTTCCCCATAGTTCTTCTTTAGAGATCCCAGTTCTTGTTAGGAATTCGAGCCATGACACGCTACAAATTGTAGCCAACGCCCTGTACATCGGCAACTGTTGGGTACAAAATCTACAAGCATTAATTCGGTTAAAATTATTTTTTAAATCAGGGATCGATTTACTATAAAAATTTATTATTTACCAGCTAGATCTATATTGATTGATTTCATATCTATATCAATGGAATAAACCTACTCTGAAAGGTAACTATAAAAAAGTTTCTAGTTAAAAAGCATCCTAACACCAGCATACTATCAAACTCACAAGATAAAGATTTTTTAATAATTTATTTAAAAATTATGCGTACCTCCAGACTGTCATATTTACTCAGTACTGTGAGCACACGAATAGTACCCAGGTCCACTCGACAGGGAGCGCTGAGGTGCACGTTAAACGCCTGCATGACCATCCCGTCACTAACCTCTGCAACTATGCCATCGTTGCACTGAAAAATCAAGTCATTAAAATTAATTATTATATAATAATAATAATTATAATAAACTTATTAAAGGCTGATTAATCAAAGCTGATTAAATATTAATAACTATGCTGTCATGCTGTCGTATCAACAGGCAATCATGATGACACCTGTAGTCACTTTTCTGTAGGATTTGTAGATGACTTTTTTGGAAGGAAGTCGTTACAATACACTACTTTAAATACTTATGCAGTACTTATACTGCCTGTGTCAGTTACTACCATATTCACCATGTGATTTAATAGACTGACCACAATGGTTTGATTACAAAAAAGAACCCATAGTAGGGTGCACGATTTTTCTGTTAAATCTTTCGTCGGCGCCCATCTTACCTGCAAGTCGCAGTCGCACAGATTATTGAGTACGCAGCCGGCATTAGTCACGAGTTTTCCCTGCAGGTGGCAGTGCGTTACGAGATTCTTCGCGCCGAACGTGACATGGCTCGACGCGATAGAGTTGACGAACACCGTGTCATGTGACAGCGCCGAGGATCCCTGCCCAAGCAAAACTCTATCGTTACAAACAGGGTCTATCGAAGAATGACCATGCATACGTCACCAACACGATTACAGGCGCGACACTCGGCTGGTCTAGTTCAGTGCTTCTTAAACTGGTACAAAAATGGTTCACCCAAAGGTGAATGAAATTATTTTGGGGTGAACGAAACTTAAACCAAAATCATGAGGAAATTACGTCGCGGGTGAATGAAATTTTGTGATAAAGACTCGAGGGCGAATGACACTGAAATAGTTTAAGAAGCACTGGACTAGTTCATTCTAAGCCAGGACGTCACTCGACATGGCTCAGTTACAAACTTTGCCTATTTCAGCACGACATCCAAACTTTCACTCGTGTCTGTAGACTACATAACCAAAAGACGACAGTGGTGCCATCTCCTGCCGAATAATACAAAATTATGGGAGATTTGGTTGGCTATGGGAAACATCGTTTACTAATAATACAACAACTAATTAATTACCTCGAGGTGAGTATGGACGTGGCCTGCCCACGTCTGTCTGTCCCGCGGCGGTCGCCAGCCGAGGTAACTCTGGCAGACGTTGTTGTAGTGATCAAGGCCGGAGAGGCTCTGATAGCTGTAACTGCCATCCTCGAGCAAAACTGTCAAGAAAACGAAGCACGGCTTAGAGGGGAATTCACTCGTGAGTTTTACGACCGATAGATTTATACAAGTACACGCGCACGCACGCATGAATGCATGGACGCACGCACACACGCACGCACAAACGCACGTGCGAACACAATATCAACCTGCAGTCATTTATACAGATATAACCATGTACATTTCTAAAGCTACATTACATAAGTGGAAAAATTAATTAATTAATTAATTAATTAAATAATTAATTGGATCCGGATTAGTGCGAGCGTGCAGGTGGGGGAGGACTGTGGTTGCCCCTTAGCCTGTGGTTGCGTGTTTGTAAGTCTACAGCCAGCGCACCTAGCGGAAGTGAACTGCAACACAAGTGTGTTAGTGGAAGCACAAACACACAAACCAACACTCAAAGACACGCCGGTGAAAACATAACCTCCGCCAATCCGCGGAGGTAATAACATATATATATATATATATATATAATACCTACGACACTGCTCTTGATAGTATTAGGGTTCACATCTGGTCTCCTTACATTTGATCTTACCGGTCACCCCCCCCCCCCCCGCCACAATATGCACGTTGACTGGGAGCTGCGTCCCTTCCCCAGCTAGTTTCAACAGTTACCCAGTTGAATCACAAAAATTTCACCCTTCCCTTTGTAAGCATTTGCTCGGGCCACATAAACATCATCAGGTATTTTGTTCGCGAGAACTCGGGAGGCAGCGACGTTGCAGGACGTCGTGAACTACTGGTAGCCCGGCAGATATGTGCAATATTTGAGGGAATTGTGATTTTGATGATACAAGCATGAGCATTGGCACACTGTTAGAGCATGCCCTAAAAAAGATTTTTGGCTATAGGGCCATCGCATATTTGTCCAACTGCAACAATGGCGGCCATTTTCCAAGATGGCCACCATTCAAATCCATTATTCCTTATTTTCAGCTAATATTCAACATAGAAACATGATCTTGGTGCCTAAACCAACATTATCGGGGTCCATAAACCCAGTGCAATCAAAATCATTATCGGTCGGTGGCCGTTGCCGGGCTATGGCGTGAGCGATCAGGCGAGCGATCGTACCGGGAGCGTGAGGCTGGCAGTGGTCGGCGAGGTCGGACAGATGGGTGAGCACGATCCTCGTGTCGCGGTCGTCGTCGCCGGCAACCGTCTCCTGAAGCACGAGCACGAGATGCGGCCTGCGAACAAGACGGTTCGCGAACGGTCAGCCACGCCCACGAACAATGGAACAATTTACAACTAGTCATTTCCGGGAACAACGGAACGATGCACGATCAATCGTGCACACAAACAATGGAACAATGTGCAATCAGACATGACCGCGAACAACAGAACAACACGTGACGGAACAAGCAAAACTCTTCCTCGTAAGAACAACGACGTTCGCGGCGTATAACCGCGTCCCACATTCCCGACGCCGCGCCGTCGCCGCAGCATGGCGGCCGGCGGCAACCCCCGACCAATCAAAACATACTCCGGTATTCGTCGAGCGCGCGCGCCGACCGGGCGCCGGCCGTCGACCAAGATGGCGACGTTCGTGACGGCGCCGCCGTGTTCGTAGGTGATGGGCGGCGTGTCGGTCCACCCTCCGGACAGGTCGAGGCGTGCCGGACACTCGGCGGTCACCCACTTTCCCATCGCGGGCGCGTCGCACGACGATAGCTCGATGAACTGCGGAGGGAGACGAGAATGAAATTAATGACGACACACGTGGGTGACAGTCGTAAATGTGTGTGGGTGTATAACGCGCAGCGGCAGGCCGGGCGGCGAGTGTCCGACCTTGACCCCGGGGGTCAGGCCGCCGACCTGGTCCTGCCAGCCGCCGCCCGTCGTCAGCATCTGCTCCAGGTGCAGCACCTGCAATCCAAATCCAAAAAAATACTATTGACTGTGACCAAAACAATACTGCCTGTGATTAAAATATTATTGCCTATATACAATATAAACAATAAATAATATATATACAAATACAGGGTGGGAAAATAGCACCGGCCCACCGGCATATGCCAGCAAATTATTTGGAAGACCAGTAACATTGGCAAGACCAATATAGTAACATAGCCGTGTTAGCGAATACCTACATTTTTATTTATAGCATTAATAAGCAAATAGCCTATAAATACTGTTTTACCTGAAGGATATCACGCCATAATTTATCAAAATTTTACAAATTTGAAATCGAGAATGCAAGCATGAAACATGACATTGACAAAAACACTTCCTACATCATTCATGACCTGCATTATAGTCTGTTCAACAGCTACCATGCGATGCTGCACACTGCAACATTTTTTGGACAAGCAAGAGTCAGTAAAGCAGTCTTATCTTCATTTTTGGAAAAAAAATGTGAGGGCTGGTAAAAAAATGCTGTTACCAGCCCTCTGGACTGGGGCAAAAAAACTGCTATTACCAGCCCTCTGGGCCGAGGCAAAAAAAATGAATTTCATCCCTAATGAAATAAAACAATATAGTCTGCGACCGAAAACGCTGTCCGTGACCGAAAGATGTACGATCATTATTGAAACGTACAATTCAAGTACGATTGCAAACACGTTTGATTGGAACTGAACATACAGTTTCTGCGACCGAAAAACATCTAGCATGAATAAAGTAACAAAAGTATCGACCATGACGGCTCAAGGAACAATCGACCGGGTTCTCAATTATCACACTCGGCTGCCTCCTATTGGCTACTCACGGCATGGATGAGCGAATCGTGGTTGTGCGCCTTGCCGGAGACGCGCCAGAGAGCCGCCATGACGGCTCCAGCGAGGATGCTGCTGGTGCCGAGACCTGCGAGCAGACGCAGTACGCGCGTTAGCTGTGCTGTTCCATCGTCCATCGCTCACCCCTCACATCGCCCTTCCATCGTCCATCGCTCACCCCCTTTCCATCGGGCGGGGCGCGCGCAT